TATATATATATATATATATATATATATATATATATATAGAGTAATGAAAAAAAAGTATAACAAAATTCCATTCACTAATAATAAGCTAAAATTTTCAGGCCTACACTGTCATTCATCTTCACACAGGTAAGTCTGTGTTAAAGTACCAAGACTATAAAAAGAGAATATTTTATTCCTAATATGATATCATGGTTGATTAATCATTAATAAGCAGTACGAAACATCTACCAATTCATTAAAAATCTATCTTCTGATAAAAGCTTTATATTCAGTGCTTTGAGAAATCTTAAACTTGCAAAAACAATGTAAAAATTTACACTTCAATATAGAACAACTTCATTACTATTTTTGGCACATACCAGAATAAATCTTCAGATGTTTCTACAGTTACTCACCTATCACAGATTGCTGTAAGGCTAGAGCTTCACAAGTGTTTGTCATTGCACCAAAAGGTGTTGAGAATAAGGGTTCCTTGAATTCTTTTGAATTGGTATCTTGTTTTACGGAAGGTGAAGAGGAACTGACATCCACGGGAAATGATTCCATGGTTTTGGCACAAAGTTCTGGGTTACTTTTATTGAAATATTGGGTAGCCTAAAGTAAACAAAAACTTTTTCTGAGTTCAGTACCATAAATCCAACAAAACTGTCTGTTAACCAAACATGACATGTAGTTTTAGCTGTGTTCATCTTTAATTTACTATGTAAAATTTGTCGCAAGATCTGTTTTACAAATCATTAATGAACTCCTTATTTCCTGTTTCATCAGGTTAAAGATTACCTCATTTCCTGTTTCAACAGGTTGAAACTTATCTCACACCTGTTTCATCAGGTTGAAGATTACCTCACTTCTTGTTTCATCAGGTTGAAGATTATCTCACTTCCTGTTTCATCAGGTTGAAGATTATCTCACTTCCTGTTTCATCAGGTTGAAGCTTATCTCACTTCTTGTTTCATCAGGTTGAAGATTACCTCATTTCCTGTTTCATCAGGTTGAAGATTTTCTCACACCTGTTTCATCAGGTTGAAGATTATCTCACTTCCTGTTTCATCAGGTTGAAGATTACCTAATTTCGTGTTTCAACAGGTTGAAACTTATCTCACACCTGTTTCATCAGGTTGAAGATTTTCTCACACCTGTTTCATCAGGTTGAAGATTAGAACACAATCTGACCCTCACTGTACTTTTTTTCTGATATATCTTTAATTTATTTTTGAAAAGTTACAATTGTACCTTCCACTATCAACATTATTTCAATTATTTGGATAGCTGGTATAACTGGAAACCATAATTTCAATTAGTTGATTTTTTTCATGACAACGAATTTAATCATAATTTCAATTAAACAACTGTTGGAACAATTGAAAACAGTAATAATAAGAAACAGTTACTTTCCTGACATTAATCGTAATTTTGATTAATTGACTAGTTTACGTTACTCTAGTCAATGTAATCACTTATCACAGACAATCAACATACTGATTAATTTATTACATTGCTCAGCTCTAGTAAGTAGTAAACTTTCACCAGTGAGGAAGGTATCCAGTATTAAAGATTTCACAAAACTAGAAACACGCGTAACATATAAACAAATCATAGACATGTATTGTGTTTATCAAGTTATAATGTAGATGATTCTATACATAACATAGCCAATGCACACCAGGGAAGGACGTATTCTTTCCAAGTAAAACAACAACCACGACCCACTGCTTTCAGAAAACTGATCAGAAAAACAGTCTAAAATATAATAAGTACAGAAGAGAAATAGGGAAACTAGATATTTTTTTCTTTTCTTTTGGTGTTACTAAATGTATTAGTAAAACCTCTCCAATTCATATAGACGAACACACACAAAACATATAGAAATAACCAATTTTTTTTTCATAAGCATAAGTTATGCTTACCGGATCTGATGCATTTGGGTAGCTTAATGATGAAATTTGGCACTCGTAATTGTAAAGGAGGTTTTCTTCGTCATCTATTTCTTTACTGCTCATACTTTCACCTTCCTCATTTGTAATGGCATGTTCACCAATTCTAACTTCTTGATCTTCTGGTGGAGTAGGTGAGCTTCCTGGGGTCAATATCTTAGGGTCTGGTCGAAAGGAAAGTAGAGATTGCCTATTGTTGTTCACATGGTTTCGTTTTTCTGAAAATTTACATTAGTATAAAGTATTAGTATTGGTTCATACCCATACGGAGCAGAATCAGGGGCACTGTGGATCATGTGCTCTCAAATATTAAATTGACTAAGGAGCATAGTGCCCCCTTGAACGGGGAATAGACTTATGTATAACTATTAAAAAAACTTGTTTCAGTTCAATGGTCAGTTAACACAGCACATGAGGTGCCCCTCCCACATTCAAGTAAGTTCCACCACCTATGTTCACACCACATGAACGTTGCAAAGAGTTTTACTCACCGATAGTCCTAGAAACAAACAAAAACTTGTGTTGATCACATATAAACTAACAACCTGAAACGTAGTAGCTCAAAGCTGGAGTAACATACAAGAACTTATGTTGATCACATATAAACTAACAACCTGAAACGTAGTAGCTCAAAGCTGGAGTAACATACAAGAACTTATGTTGATCACATATAAACTAACAACCTGAAACATAGTAGCTCAAAGCTGGAGTAACATACAAGAACTTATGTTGATCACATATAAACTAACAACCTGAAACATAGTAGCTC